AAATATCAATGTGTGGCAGTCTGCCTTTTAGGCAGTACTTGTTTAAGAATCCTTGCTGTTTGTCAAGAGTCATTGCCAACCATTACTCCTGATTCATTCCCCTGCTGACATCTGAGGCTGCTGTGATTCTGTCAGCCAATCTATTCCATATACTGACATGGGGACGGGGCTAAAGGAGGAGGGTTTGTCCCTTCGGTTTACTTTTCTCTCCCATTCATATTCCTGCTCGTGATGGGAGAGATGTTGCCTCACAGACAGAGGGGAAATATGGCGTAGTGGTCCTCATTGGCCATGTTCTGATTGGTCCGGGAGACCCATATATGACAATAGACAGCGGCAAACAAACATCAGGAAGGGGGCAAGGCCCCCGGAAATGCGTTAGCATCTAACAGTCAGGACGGAGAGACTGATTGACCTATGTCTTCTTTGTGTCCCGATGCAACGTTTAAACCCCTCGTACACAGCGGCACAGCCGCACTTGGCACTTCTGATCACTCATCGTTTGTGAGTATAGTCAATGACAACTTGTACCTTTTTCTAAAATAAAGCGATTTTACACTAGGGTAGGCGCCCTGTCGTGCTGTGTAAATTCTACATAAAAACAGAATGCAATGATTTGCTAATCATAAACCCGTATCTTATTTACAATAGAAAACAGAAAACATATCAAATGTTTAAACTGAGAAAATGGACGATTTTAAGAAAAAAATAAGGTAATTTTGAAATTGATGTAGCAACACGTCTCAAAAAAGAGGGGACAGGGCAACAAAAAGCTGACAAAGTAACTGGTACTAATGAGGAAGAGCTGGAAGAACATTTTGCAGCTAATTAGGTTTATTGGCAAGAGGTCAAGCAGAGATGGGCCGAGGGTCACCAATCTGTGAAAAGCTGCGTCCAAAATTGTTGCACAATTTCAGAATAATGTTCTTCAACGTAAAAATTGCAAAGACTTTAAATATCTCATCATCTACATAATATCTTCAAAAGATTCTGAGAATCTGGAGAAATCTCTCTGCACAAGGGACAAGGCCAAAACACAATATTGGATGCCCGTGATCTTCAGGACCTCAGACAGCACTGCATTAAAAACAGACCTGATTCTGTGATGGACATCACTGCACGGGCTCAGCAATACTTCCAAAAATCACTGTCTGTGAACACAGCTCGCCGTGCCATCCAAAAATGCCAGTTAAAGCGCTATCATGTAAAGAAGAAGCCGTATCTGAACATGATCCAGAAACGCCGCCATCTTCTCTGGGCCAAAGCTCATTTTAAAATGGTCTGTCACTAAGTGGAAAACTGTTCTGTGGTTAGATGAATACAAATTTGACATTCTTTTTGGCAACCATGGGCACCGTGTACTCCGGACTAAAGAGGAGAGGGACCTTCCGGCTTCCTATCAGCACTCAGTTCAAAAGCCTGCATCTCTAAAAGTATGGGGGTGCATTAGTGTGTATATAATGGGCAGCTTGCACGTCTGGAAAGGCACCATCAATGCTGAAAGATATATCCAGGCTTTAGAGCAGCATACTCTCCCATCCAGACTTCGTCTTTTTCAGGGAAGGCTTTTCTAATTTCAGCAGCACAATGCTAAACCGCATACTGCATCTATGACAACAACATCCGGGTGCTTAACTGGACTGCCTGCAGTCCAGACCTTTCACCAATTGAAAATATTTGGCACATCTTGAAAGGGAAAACACGACAAAGAAGACCCAGGAGTGTTGAGCAGTTAGAATCCTATATCAGGCAAGAATAGGACAACCTTCCTCTCCCAAAACTCCAGCAACCGGTCTCCTCAGTTCCCAGACGTTTACAGAGTGTTGTTAGAAGAAGAGGGGAGGCTGCACCGTGGTAAACATGTCCCTGTCCCAACTTGTCTGAGATGTGTTGATGCCAATAATTTCAAAATTACCCTTTTTTTTGTTAAAATGGTCCATTTTTTCAGTTTAGACATTTGATATGTTTTCTCTTTTCTATTGTGAATGAAATCTGGGTTTATAAGATTTACAAATCATTGCAATCTGTTTTTATGTAGATTTTAACACAGAGTCCCAACTTTTTTGGAATTGGGGTTGTACAATATGGAAAAATTAAAATACGAATACAGTGCAAGGCAGGAGAATAAGGACAGTGCATTTTTCTTTTGCAGTGTACATCAGAATAGCCGGCCGATGTGCATCCCAGGGCAAGTTGCTTCCAATGCTGCACTTGTCATAAGGAAGTGAGTACCTGTCACTGACCACAAGCAATGTCAATATGTTGGATCTAGCAATAAGATTGTATTGTTTTACATTAAGGCAACATTTTATTAACTTGCAAAAAGCTAATTTCTTTGGATACAGTCGAGAAGAGTTGGCCGAGTCCATGTTTCAGACCATGTTTCATATTACACCCAAATTTAGGCTGTAACCTAATGCACGATTGCATGCACCATCCCCAAAATCCAACCCTCCCCCTTAATCTGAATTGCAGATTTGCTTCTTCTGTCAGAAATGTGTAACCATGTAAAATTTAGTGTGAATGTGCGTATATCCGCTCACACAACTACATTCTGCTCCGTATAAAAACTACACATGTGGGATTCTGCAAACCACGCCGGAAATCCTTCCTCCCTCTCCCCGCTCTGTAGTTTAAGCCACACGTCCTCCAGCAGTTATGGGCCGGAGGCTGGGGGAAATCATTGCAAGAGCCTGCGCACTGCAGCTGAGATGCACTGATCATGGGTGCTCTGCAAGCTTCAATGCAAAAAAATGAGTACCTACACATTGATCATTTGATCCAGGGCTGTCTTTGACGTGGGGAAAAAGCGCCAGGTGCCCCAGGCCCAGTCATTTTTGTGGGGCCCAAAGCAGCTGCCCCTTGAGCCCACAAAAAATATACACGTGTTATCGTTCTGTTTACTATGCGATTGTCATCACTCTATCTCCCTCTGACGTCTCCACCTATCTGCTCTGCAGGAGAGGAATGTCACACGAGGGTGGCTTCTGTCACCTGACACACATCAATCAGGAGAGTGAGATGTGACATCCGGACTGAGCTACTGCTACACCACCAGGCATGGTGCGGGGCCGGACGGGGTGGGGTGTGGTGGTTGGGGCCTAAGAAAATGTTTGCCAAGGGTCCAATCAATATTAAAGATGGCCCTGATTTTATCAATGTTGCTGCATTTTAAAGAGACCCTGCCTCCACCCTATGCATGACAAGATAAACATACAAAGGGATTAAAAGCACGTGTATTTGTTTTTACTCTATTAAATAAAAAGATTGAGCCCATAAAGACACAATTGGTGAAAAGAAATTGGAGGTGTTGAAGATTTTAGCTGATCTTAGAAATAGAAGCATTGATGTTGGGCACGTTAAAAAAAATAATAAAAATGGTGTACCCTATACAGGTGCTATAAACAATGCCAGAGAGATATGCAGTGATCTACAATCACAGAAATTGGAGACGGAAGCGCCACAACCTAGCACAATAAAAGTGTAGAGAAGGTTAGGGGAGGGTGGTGTTCAACTCACCTGTGGTAGGGTGGGTACTCGTTTAGACAGGTGGTTGAGAGCGATGTTCAGGGGTGGCAGACGTGATGAAGCCGTAGAGACGCGTGGTCAACGATGGAGGTGTGGTGTATGGCTGCTGACGGTGCACCACACCTCCGTCGTTGACCACGCATTTCTACTAACCTAACGGTGAGTGACAGAAGACCTCATTGGCTTGTGTTTTTCCTCCAACCTCACCACCTGTGTTGTTCCTTTTCATCCACTATTCCTTGGTCCATAACGCTACCACCAATTGAAGAAGAGGAAGGCTTCATCAAGTCTGCCACCCCTGAACATCACTCTCAACCACCTGTCTAAACGAGGTTGTGGCGCTTCCGTCTTTGGACACCCCAGTCCGGACTTAACAGAAGCCGCACACCAGCAATAGATCCCCCTGAATACGGTCCTTTTCCCCATAGAGGTCGGACTCTGCGTGATATATCCTCCATTTCTGCCTGGTGGCCGCCCATTCTTTATATAGTAATAGAACTTGTTACATTTAGGGAAACATTCCTATAAAATATTCCGCTATTGTGTTTCAGTTATTCCAGAGACCATTCTTTTTTTCTGGAGCTCAGCGATTATTTCTGGGTGACAAGAGAGTCCCAATTTCCCTTTCCATTTGGCACAAATGGCAGCGGTAAGATGGTTTAAAATAATAAAAATGTTTAATATAAATGTAGGGACAATCATTGGACGTTGTGTATAATTAAAGTATATACAGGGCCGGATTCCCCACAAGATCACGGAGGCCATGGCCTCGGGGGAGCAGGGAGTAGAGGGGCTCCTCCAGGGGCCTCAAAGTAAATGCCAGATTAGAGAGTTCCTCTGCAGGAAAACACAAAATTTTAAATAAACACAATTTGGAAAGCAGCCACCAAGGGAGAAGATAATTTGTCCAGTGGCCCCCAATTGAATTGAGTTTGAGACTCCACTCCTTGCTCTAACGCTGCATGGAAACATCAGCATCTTTTACATGCAGCGGTAAAGCCTTTAATGACCACAGAGGTGATAGAGATTTAATGGGATCTATTTAATAGACTGACAAGCTGTCAGTAAGCCAGTGGCTGCCTATGAAATAAATCCATGTGTATCACTGGCAGCTCCTCAGTGACTAAAGGCTTTAACCCTGCATGTAAAAGATGCTGATGTTTCCATGCAGTAGTAAGGATATATTGCCATATATCTACTGCTAGCGAGTGATAGATATATACCCCAACATTAAAAAAAAAAAAAAGTTGGCAAGTACCAACTAAATTACCTGTGTCAGCACCGCTCGCTCCCGGCTGCAGAAGTCCCGGCTCACAAACGCTGTGAAGGAGGAAGTGTGGGCAGGCGCATGCGCAGTCCAGATCACCGGAGGGGAGAGGAGAGCAACACTGAAACTCAATGGACGCAGCCGGGAACGCGCGCGCGCCAGACAGACTCCGTGGGACACAGAAGACGGAGTCATCGCTGCATCAAAGACCGGCACCAGCGCTGGAGGGACTGTGGAAAAAGAAGCTGTTTGGATCAAGAGGCACCACATAAGGTAAGTCCTTACAGCAGCATTGGGGTGGAGGGGATCTGCCTTTAATGTCACTTTAATGTTGTTATGTGACTGTGAACTCTTGGTGACAGGACAGTCAAAATACCGGGTGTGTGCCATTGACTGCGCTTCCTAAGGCCCACCTCCATGCTGCCCCACATATACAGTATATGGTATTTTGTACACTTTTTGGGTACTGCTTTCCAAGTTGCTATTAAAACTGACTGATCATGTGACTTTAGCAGACAGACCCTCCAAATTAACACTCGGATAGTAGGAAAGAACTGGAATGCAGTTTTAATGCTATTGGGGTTGCAAAAATTCTTGAAATGTGTAGCACATTTTAGGGGGGTTGGCAGTGAGGGGGGCGAATTGGGGAACAGCAGAGAGAGTAAATACGACCCTGACTATATGTATAGCCCCGGGTGGACTAATTAATATGGAAGTCAGGAGCCGGTCTGTGCAATCCAGGGGCCAGCATGAATATTTTAGGAGCTCCATTGGCAACAACTAGAGAAAATCTCAAACGTTAGGAGCCAGATGTCATTTTAAGGAACATTGAGTACCTGGCTCCTGGGATTTGTCCAGCTGTGGTATAGCTAAAATGTTTTTGTAGTTTTGGATAGAAACAGGAAGGATTAGTACCCCTGTTATACTGTTGCCAGTGTCCCCGCTATGGGAATTCATCCTCCATAATTGTCCCTCTCCCCTGGAGACAGAAAGTGAAGGGAAATCCAACATTTTAGAGTTGTCGCCAATATAAGAGGTTAGATGAAAATCTTCCAAAGGGGACACCTGTTCCTGTGACACCTAAGAAGGGAATTCCTCTACCGTTGCAGAGATTTCTATTCAATTCCGGTTATACCTCTAGAACAGGAAATAAAGTCTTCCCAATGTCCTCGATTTTGTCTGTTTACACTGACTATTAGATTTGTTTTCTTTTCTCAGGCTAAGAACATTTCAAGCAAGTATGACATTTTTTTTTTTATCTTGCAGAAATGTTGATGACTTATCTAATTTGTTACTACTGATCCCATGATACAGCATGCAATGCAAATTAGCAAAGGCAGACATGTTTAAAGTCCGGCCTAGGTGGGGAGGCATGCATGGCTCCCTACCAGGGACATGCTTGCCAATAAGGCCGACTGAGGAGGTACTTATGGAGGCACAGTGAGGGGAGGCTCTGAGGCCGGAGTGTCCATACCATACTCAGTAAAGCTCAGCCTGATAAAAATCACAGGCTCAGCATTAATGACATGACCCTGCTTCCTCCAGTAATATACTGGGAGAGTGAATATATTTGACAGGACATTAGCTATTCACCGGATTAAGAGGTGAAAATAAAGGAACAGAGCCCTGAAAAAAGAAAACTAATGCAGCCACCACATATAAGAACTGGTAAGCTACAAGATATATTTTAGTTTTTGGGTTTAGATACACTTTAATTATATACATGGTTTAACCACAATATTATAAATGTACTGTGGCAGTGTAATGCTCTGCAAAACACTCAAACACCGAAATCCCATTATTTCCTATGGGTATGGTTCACACCTGGGCGTATTACAGGCCGTATGAACGCGCTACAAAACGTCCTACGCCCAAAGAAGTACAGGAGCTTCTTTGGGGCGTTTTTGTCACGAGTTTCCATTGGGATACAGCCAAGTAGCGCTCGGGAAACGCGCATTTGTTGCACGTTTTTTAACCGCAAATCGCACGACAAACGCGTGACACGAAACGCGCGACAAATGCGCATATTTGATACGCCTAGGTGTGAACCCAGCCTTAGAGCTCTGGGTGGGATGAGATCTCCAGTCCTGGGGCCAGGTGTTGCCAATGACCAGCCTGGGCTGATCAGGTGGCTGAGAGCAGCCTCATTAGGAAGCCAGCTCAGCACTCAGAGGGGAGTGTTGGAGTTGTGTGTGTGAAACACACGGACACACGCAGACTCGGGTGCGTGCTTGACTTACAAGGAACAGCCGGGGGAGGCTGGGAGCGGTCAGGAAGGTCGGTGACCCTAGGACCGCTGGGACACACTGCTGAGAGAGCAGAGTGAGGGCTCATATTTTGTGTTTGCCCTGCATTTTACTTGATTTACCTGGACTACAGTGGAGTCTCCTTGTTACGGTACATATACAAAATCAGCTCGATAACTACTTTAATTTATTTCAGAGGATATATTATCGCAGGTGCTGGGTGTTGCAAATGATTTCAGCATTCCACATGAGATTAAAAGGTATTGTATCTTTATTTTAATAAAATGCTGGGAAGGGGACTTCTAATGTTAATGAGGAGGACTCCGCTGTGAAGAAGTGTTTTTTCCTTTCCTTTTTTCGCGTGTGGCCCCCCCCCCCTAAAATCTATACGAGACTCATAACTCAGATAAGGGTCTGTATAGATTTTAGGGGAAAACACATGTTTTGTTTACATTTTAGACTGAGGTGCCTCGAGATTCTGCATACTTTTAATGGGCGCTGTGACTGAAGAGAATTGTAGAAACTCTGATGTAGACAGTCTGAGACACTTTGATAAATAGGGCCCCCGTGTCTCTACGGCAGCACAGTGATGTGATTTCTTTCCTCTACCCAACAGGTTGCCGTGTAGGCGTTGCGTTGTGATTGGGAGTGGATATCGCATGAAGAACAGCTCTCTGGGTGACATTATTGATAAATATGACATAGTGATCAGGTGAAGAAACAAATACCAGACTCATAACTCAGATAAGGGTCTGTATAGATTTTAGGGGAAAACACATGTTTTGTTTACATTTTAGACTGAGGTGCCTCGAGATTCTGCATACTTTTAATGGGCGCTGTGACTGAAGAGAATTGTAGAAACTCTGATGTAGACAGTCTGAGACACTTTGATAAATAGGGCCCCCGTGTCTCTACGGCAGCACAGTGATGTGATTTCTTTCCTCTACCCAACAGGTTGCCGTGTAGGCGTTGCGTTGTGATTGGGAGTGGATATCGCATGAAGAACAGCTCTCTGGGTGACATTATTGATAAATATGACATAGTGATCAGGTGAGGAAAACATAAAATCTTTTCATATGGTTCATTAAATTATTACTAAAGCCAAAACCTTTCCGTTTTTTTGGATGTAGTAGGAATGGTAAAAAACCAGCAGTCAGATTTTTTTTCCCATTTGGGAGATTTTCCTTCACTTCCTGTTCTATAAACACAATAGGAAGTAAGAGGAAATCTCTCCACCCAATGAACTGCAATCAATTTTATGGTAATTACAAAAATCCTGTTTCCTTTTTTGCTTGTTAAGAGACATGGGATCAGTAGATATTCTCCCCTCCCACACTCACATAATGTTATCGTCTGAGATTGCCGTACATTAGCATATTCATTAAGGGCCAGTACATCGTCTCTGAATTGGTGCTGGCACTGTCCTTCCTTCTGAAGGGGGGCTACTTTTGTTCCCCATGATCCCTGGTGCTTGCTCCCGGGATAGACTACAATCTCACATTTAGTTTACTAATTTGTATTGAGATTGTAGTTCATCCCGGGAGCAAGCTTGGAGCGATTTGAGGCTAGGTACACATATTGGCGATCCCAGGGCGTGCCTCCTGTGACCGCGCGATCGTGTACGGCTGCACACAGCGGTTGCCACACGGTCCCATTGATTTTTAACAGGGTTGCACGGGCCATATAGCGGCAGAAGAACAGCGCGATTTGCCTGGCACGACTGAGGTGCCATTAGAAAATAATGGCAACAATAGTGCGATTGACAGTGGTGTGCAATTCCGTGAAAGTCTGAAAGTAAACAGCTTCTGCCGGGTGCTCTCTTTAGTATGACCAAATATCTCTGTAGCACCAGTATGTCAATGAAGCACCCTGTAATAAACAGTTATTTTTAAAACAAAGATGTGATGTAAATCAGTAAACACATATATAAAATGAACCAACCCAAAACCTTCATAGCTATCCCTTACAGAGAAAAAAAGACTTCACCTGTATTCGCAGAGCAGGGAAGACACTGTGTTGAGAAGAGGACAGGAGGCTTGCATATGCTGAAACTGTATTTCATCTCTGTTACAATCCTCTACAGGCTGAACAATGCCCCCGTCCACAAATACGAGGAAGACGTTGGAAGCAAGACAACTTTACGCTTGTTTTACCCAGAATCTGCTTTTTTTGACCCAGTGTTAGACAACAATCCAGATACGCTATTGGTGCTGGTGCCATTCAAGAATCTGGACATCCAGTGGCTAAAAACAGTCCTAAACAATGAGACAATGGTGCGTAAGTGCTGTGATATGTACTTTCTGTGGTATATCCCTCCTTGAATGAACATATACAGAAACGTTTATCATTCGCTACAACAAAAGCCATTCTCTACATGGACTGCAATGCAGCATATACAAGATTTCAAATGATATCCAAACTTTAACTGCTATAAACAGCTCCCGAAGTTGGCCGAGCGGCTCAGACGAGCCGAAGGCATATGCCTCGGCTCCACTGAGCCGCGCTGAAAGCCGAAGCTGGCCAAATGGCCGGCCATTGGCCAGCCGACAGCCTGTTTCTGGCTGGCTCCGGCCACTTGCAGAGAGATCAGCGTTCCTGGTTACCAGCTAACCAGGGACGCTGTCATTACACACTGAGAGCGGCCTCTCCGTGTTCTCAGTGTGTAATGACAGATGTTGTTTCTGGTTACCTGGTAACCAGGAACGCATCTGTCATTCCCCCCCCCCGGACGCTAATAGGCTCCCGGCCGCCCGGGAGAGAAACATTTTCTCACAGAAAGGTTCACTCTGCTTAAATGTCTAGATAAACTATGTTTAGTAAAAAAACTTTTTTTATATTATTATGTTCTTCCAATCTCTTTTTTAGTTCCCTAGTGATTCTTCCCACATATTGCAGACCACACAGGCATTCCAAAAGGTAAGTGACATAACGACTATGGCATGAGATAAAAAAAAATATTTTATATTCTTTACCATTTGTTTGTGATTTAAAAGAGCTTATCTTACTCCTAAGTCCTGTAGTTCTACAGCTCATAAATCTTTTGCAGGTATAAAAACCTACACCCTCAAAAAAGGTGGTGGTTTGTTTGGGATCAATAACATTTTTCTATAATTATCATATAATTTATCTCTCAAGATGGGTGCCCTCCTGTAAATAACTTTAGGTTTGGAAGGAAGCAAAGGGCCTAGTATTCCAATGTTTCCCACTAATGGACTCTACTTCTTAATGTTCGGCTGAATAATTAGTGACAAATGATATGGGAAAGGAGTCAGATTTTTTTCACACTTGGTTTAAGCAAGGAACTCCTAATTACATCTAGAACAGGGGCGCCCACTATTTTTCGTCTGGAGATCTACTTTTCAAATGACGAGCTCATTGAGATCTACCAACGAAAAAACAGCTGCATTCAGGGGCGGGAGGGGGCGTAGGCTGCGCAGGCAGGCCCCTCGCCCACAGTGCGATCGCCTGCATTAGTGCCTGTGTTCCAGTCCAGTGCGATCCGCAAAAATGCTGCGAGCACTATTTTTGCAGATCGCACTGGACCGGAATGCAGGCACTAATGTGCCTGCGTTCAGAGTGAGGGCGATCGCACTGTGGGCGATGCCATTGACTTCAATACAGCTCCACACCCCCTCCCGCACCGGAACGCAGGGAGTCGGCCTGCTTACATTGCAGTGCATTCCAGTACATTACAGGTCCAGGCGTCCTGTCCTCCCGTGGTGCTCGTGTGGCCGACGTTGCACATGGGGTGTCCTGCACCTTTCCATCTGCAGCGTCTGACACATTCAGCCGGCAGCCGCACGAGCACCACGGGAGCATAGCCGTAGCCAGCTCCTTTTGCGCCTGAGGCAAGGAAAAAAAACAAAGTTTTTTAAATTTATTTTTTACTATTTTTTATTTTATTTTCATTATTTATTTTTATTTATTTTAAATTTTCATAATTTTTTTTTTTTTTTACTCTTGGGGGGGCTTCGGGGAAATATTAGGGGTCTAAAAAGCCCCCTGATATTTCCCTTTTAAAATAGAAAAAGAAATTGAGGACACAAAGTCCTCAATCTCTTTTTCTGCAGCCTCTATTCTAAATGAATGGAAAGTACAGACGCTTCCCATTCATTCAAAAAATATTTTACTATCAAGCTGTTTCTGAATGGGGAGGAGCCTCTGTACAGAGTGCTTCTCCCCATTGAGAAACTTATGAATGAAGAGGAGGTGATGTAAATCACCTCCTGTTCATTCATTTATAACTGGGGACACATAATACTATGTGTCCCCAGTTATTTACAAACACTGGAGTGATCAGCCGATCGCTCCAGTGTTTGTCCTGCACAGAGGATTGGTACATACTAGTGTCATGTACCGATCCTCTGCCGCTCGTCCACGCACAGGGGGGCTGCAACTTCTCCTCTGGATCTCCCCTGCTCTTCCGGGCAGACGCAGCGGTGGGATACCACGAGCTGCGGGGGGGCGGAGCCGCTGTGACAGAACGGACGAGCAGTGAGGGGAGAGGCACCGGCTGTCAGATGCTGGCCGAGCGTCTCTCTCTCTCCTCACTGCTCTGCATTAGTTAGTGACAGCGGCTCCGTCCTCCGCCCTCCCCCGCCGCCGGTTCCTTCACTTCTTCTCGGATCCCCGCTGGGGAGAGCAGCGGGGATCCAGAGAAGCGGCGGGAGGAGAGGACATGGCGATCTACCAGTGATCGCTACGCGATCGACTGGTAGATCGCGATCGACCTTGTGGGCACCCCTGATCTAGAACATTCTTTCTTATCTTATAGAGTTTGTTTTCATTGTATCCCTTCTCTATGAATCTGTCAATAAGGACTTGGGATTGTGAATAAAAGTCATCTAATTTGGTGCAATTTCGCCTGATACGCACAAGCTGCTCTTTAGGAATTCCTCTCAGCCACTGGGAATGATGAAAGCTTTGAGTTGGGATGTAACAATTTTTGTCTGTAGGCTTAAAATAAGTTTTGGTAGACCACCCATTCCCCTAATAATTTCCAGTTCTAGAAATTGTATCGCAGCCGCATTAATGGTATGTGTAAATTCCAGGTTATAATAATTAATATTTAAAGAATTTAAAAACACTTCCAAAGATGACAGAGTACCCTCCCAAACAATGATTATATCGTCAATGAAACGCTTCCATAACTTAATGGGCCCTCTAGGATTAGTAAAAATATATTCTTCTTCCCAATTTGCCATGTATAGGTTAGCCATGCTCGGGGCAAACTTTGCCCCCATTGCTACCCCTCTTTCTTGCAGATATTAGTTACCCTGATACCAGAAACATTTTTTATTCATAGCAAAATCGATGCATTCTAGAATAAAAATTTTCTGTTTCAGTTTACGATCACTGTAATTATAAAATGCCCAATTAATTGCTTCCAAACCTTTGTGATGGGGTATGCTGGTATATAAAGAAGCTACATCTATAGTAGCCATTAGTGAATTTTCCTAAAACCTGCCGATGAACACCAAAGTCAGGACTGAAATACAAAGGGAGGACACTGACATAGTACAGTACTGAATAGCACAACACAGGCAAAAGACACTAGATGCTGAATATGTTTTGGAAATATGATATTGCCTAACAGGAATATTGAAACGTTTTGTAACTCTGGGTTAATTTCATAGGTAAAAAAGGGCTTCTGGAAGAAACCTCCCTTAATATGGAAAGTGAAGTCTCAGAACATCCGGATCCTAAATCCCTATTTTATGGAATTTGCTGCCACGAAGCTGATGCAATATGTTCTGACAATACGCAAGATGAGTGTGGTATGTAGGTAGAAAAATGTTAGGTTTATAAAGATTGATGTACAAATTAAAATAAAAGTCACACACACTCGTATTGGTACACCATCGTCTGTGTCACAGGCTTACAATTTTAATGATGATGGACATCATGAGATGACCTGATTATATCATCACAAACGAGCACATTCCCATGTCTTCTGGCTGTTTTATGTAAGAGATGCGTCTATAGTTAGATGTAAATTCACTAGTCATACATTGAGACTATGAGAGAACATTCTATCTAATGTTTTGTGCTTCCCTTCCAGAGACCAACCATCGGCTTCATGGCAATCTCTTTTGCTATTCACTTCTGTGACATGGTCCACATTGCAGGCTTCGGCTATCCAAAGATAAATGATTCGCTCCCCAACCACTACTATGACAAGAGCATTATGAAGAAAATGATAGTAAGTTTCTGTCCATTATGCTATAGGCACAAAACATTAAAACAAAAACCGGCATCTTTTTGAAACTTTGTGGTATATATATTATTAAAAGAAAATATAAAATAAGGTTTTACATTTGGAGGGTTCACATTAGTCTGTTAGCCTCAATTAACCCCTTCATGACTGAGGCCCTTTTTTCCATTTTTGCACCCTTGTTATATTCCACATTTTAGGCCTGAAAGATCAGATTGATGAAGGTGAACTAACAATGTTGTTAAAGTGAAAGTAGAGTTGTTTTTCCTATAATCTGTTCCTATACTTCTACCCACTTTACAGCATTAACCCTTCCTGCCATGGGGTGAACTCATTCAACAGTTTAACGGAAGAGCTTTCTGTAGGGGTCCCCCAAGGCTCTGTCCTTGGACCCCTTCTCTTCTATATCTGCACCTCCTCGCTGGGTCAGTTGATCACCTCACATGGCTTCCAATATCATCTCTATGCCGATGGCACTGAACTATATCTCTCCACTCTACAACTCACCTCCTCAGTGTCCTTGCGCGTCACTAATTTACTAACTGACATATCAGTCTGGATGTCACAACACTTCCAATATTTCAAAAACTGAGCTCAGAATGATTCTTCCCCCCCCTTCATGCACCTTCCCCCAACTTTTCCATTGAGATTGATAACACAACTATCACTCCTTCCCCCCAAGCCAAGGAGCTAGGTGTCATCCTTGACTCGGACCAAACCTATCTGCCCCACATCCAATCACTATCCAAATCCTGCCGCCTTCACCTTCGTAACATCTCCAAAATACGCCCCTTCCTCACTGATGATACCACAAAGCTGCTCATCTACTCCTTTCTGTGGTCAGGTTTTCATAAATCACTGTGTATAGATATTAAAAGTATTCTTGTGTTTCAGAGTGCATCACATAAGGTACCCCTGGAAGCAATGATAATAAGAAAGCTTCTTCAGCATAACGTCATTCAGAACCTGACCTACTTCTGAAGACTGTCGCCTGGAAGATCAGGGATTACTACATCCATATCTTCACACACGGTGCTAGACTGAACAGCGCCCAGAACCAGTGAACAGAACTTCAAAGACTATAACAAGAGATTACTTCTAAATGGCTATTACCTGTGAAGATTTCAACAAGAGGTGCACATGGTAGCTATTGAAATAAATGAGTTCCACCAAAGGGTATGCCAGGCTTTCAAAAAATGCTAAAAGCTCTCTTATTGAAGTATAACATTTCAAAAATTAATTTATAGTATAACATGATTTTTAAATAATTAAAATTCCATTTTGTAAAACATGATCATATAATTATTCCATATATAGTATTGACATCACATGATTAATTTATACAACATGATTTGTTAATTCATTCAATATAGCTCCGACATGTTTCAGCCTACTGGGCTTCTTCAAGGGGACAGGAACTGTATATCATGAGAAGATCCAGTCGGGTGCATACCAATGTAGAGCAATAGATCACAGATGATTGATTATATTCACCCTTATTTCATAAATGGAAAGGCAATCAAGCACGGAAGTCGTGTCAGGAGAGCAATATGCAGCACCCAATCAACAAGGACACAAGGACCGGCCAAGTCTGATTGGTTGGAAAATACGTAGCTTGTGTATTCCACCTCCAGAGCAGTCCTCCCCAGTGCCGCACAGAGGTGCACATGGAAGGACAAAATCTGAACAATGAGAACCCTGTATTATATACAAAATGTTATCAGCCTTAGGCTGCTCAATTTAAAAAAAAAAGGAAAGACACAAAAACAGATATCCAAACAGGGTTTGGCTTGATATTTATTATTAAACATACGGTCAGTAATGAGAAAATGTGAAAAGAGAGTTGAAGAAAGGATAAGAACTGGTTTATCTTGTACAGTAGGTATTGTATATGATCGCTGCTGCCTTTTTCTTTTATACGTTAGTTGATTATTTATTTATGTTCTCAGGAATTTATAACGAAGCAAAACTGGTTTATCCAAAAATTCACTCCCAGCTTCAACAGGCAAACAAACATTTGTAAGATTTCTTGAGAAGAAAGATGTTCCAGTAGAATGCTAAGCTGCAAGTGAACAGGAACTGGAGAATTTCTCCACATAAATAACACATTCCCTGATCTAACCGCGGGCAGTTTTGTCTGGAGGCTCAGAGTTTTCCCTTAAAAACAAATTAAAATGAAAAAAGCTGCATTGTGATGCTAATGCTCGCAGGGGTGGCCAGTGACCAAGCAGCCCCGTTAAAGTGGACCTTTACCCCCTTTCACTAAAAATCCCATCACATGCAGCTCTGCATGCTGATATGAAATCATCTTACATTCATAAGTTAAACAAACATATTTTTTATTTCACATACAATCATTGTTTTCTACTTCCTGGTCCTCTTGTGAATTAGTGATGTAAAGTGCCCAAGCGTTGCATCCTGGGAAGGTTACATCAGCAGATCATTGCTCGGAAATCTCATCAGTAATCTGTCGTGATCTCAGGGAAAGGCATTTTCCTCCCCTTAGATGATGTGCATTGTCACATGTCCTAGTCACGTGTGCCAGAGTTCCAGGAAGTAAAGGGAGTCTATTAAACTGCCCTTAGTAAAAATGGCCACTGTCAGAAAATGGGAAGGAAATGAAAAACAAGGTATGCAAAGAATACAAAGCCGACAATTATCTAGAAGTATCTGTTTGTAGATTGTCATTACTGAACATTTCTAAAGGTGTATCTGTTGTCATTTTAAACATATGGCCAAAGTTCCTCTTTAACAATCCTATTAGTAGTCAGTGAACAGCTAGACACTGTTCAATTGCTAGAGTCCATTCTGTTTACACATAAAATATGGGAGGCTGTTGATTATATTTAAGGAGTTTTAGAAGGATGGTAGGCTAATATTGTCACCCTCCGCCATCTGAATGACCTTCCCTTCAACTTCAATTTAGCACCGAGAACTGACTTACAGCAGTGGGCAAATTCTACCGTTATAGCTTTGGTGACAGCTATCAAGAGGGGATTTCTCTTATTTTTTAAAGAGTTCCCCTCTCTCTTCCTGTTATGTTTATGGGACAGGAAGTCGATTCTCACCGGTGGAGCAGAGACAGGTGTTTTAACCAGTTTCTACACTATCAAAAAAAAAATGTTTTGGCTTTAGATACATTTTAACCATTGCTCTTCACTCCCCCCATTCCCTTCATCTTTTCTCCCCCCTCTTTTTGTTCTTAAACTGTTGTTGTATTTTACATTAACTGCTGTAATTATAAAACCAAATAATAAAAACTTTGACAAACAAAAAAAAGTGCATGGACAATTATTTTTGTATTATATTTACTTATAATAATACACCTTGAGCTACAGATGTAATTTTTAAATGCACGGGTTCCCCTTAACTTGGAAATAAATACAAAGCTTTCAGTGTAAAAAGGTTTTGAAATGCTTTGAAGCGAACCTGTTCTGCCCTCATGGAGCTTACACTCTCAGGTCTCTATTGCACACTCATACAGGGGCAATTAACCTTCCAACATGCCTTTACACTATGCAAGCACAGGGACAGAACATGCAAACTCCGTGCAGATGTGTCCTGGTTGGGATTCAAACCGGGGACCACGAATGCTGCAAGGCAGATGTACTAACCTCCTAAGCCACTGTGCTGCCCAATCTCAATAAATCTAATGACTCGGTGATGACAAAATGTAAACAGAGACTGAAGAGAAGATACATACTGAATTATCTTGCACAGAGATCAGTGTACACGGTCAGGTGATACATTGCAGGAATACCGATGGCTTTTCTTGCAAATGTTTTCCTGTTTAGTGACGATTGATTCACGTTCTCAGGTATATAAATAAAGGACAACTGGTTGGGTTGAACATTCACTCCAGGTTACACCTTCATCCCACACAAGTCGACCCAGGAAAAGATTTTGTCTGCAAGTGAAGAACTGGGTTATCTCTCTATATAAATAATACATTCTTGAGTTGAATGGGTCGTTTTGTCCAAGATGTCATTTGTCCGGGGTATGATTCACATGGAATATTTACTTGAATGGATTTTTCGGGTTCTGGGTATACAAGCAAGCAGAAATACGCTTGTTGAAAGAACAGCAGGTAAGGTAATGGCAACTCAGTGACTGCTTGATAACTAAAGAAAGCCTATGGAGAAAATGTAGGATTGTTTTTCATATATGATTTTTGTATAAAAACTACACTTTATAAGTTGGAGGTATGAATTTTTTAATGGCACAAGCTGATGACAAGCTCTCACAGCAGAGAAGGAACCTCACGCTCAGATGTTATCAGCTGTTTATAAAGTTTGATGCAACTAAATGGGAATTAGAATGGTTTGAGATAATATTAATATTTAAGTTTTAAATCTCAGGTTGATGTCTTTTCATTACGAATATCAGTTTATTTATTATACAGGTGGAACTCGAATAATTAGAATATCGTGCAAAGTTCATTTATTTCATTAATGCAACTTAAAAGGTGAAACTAATATATGAGAGAGACTCATTACATGCAAAGCAAGATAGTTCAAGCCGTGATTTGTCATCATTGTGATGATTATGGCTTACAGCTCATGAAAACCCCAAGAACCCCAAATCCACAACCTCAAAAAAGTAGATTATTACATGCAATCAATAAAACAAGGATTGTACATAGAACAATATCGGACCTCTGAAAAGTACAAGCATGCATATGTACTCAGTACTTGGTTTGGGCCCCTTTTGCAGCACTTACTGCCATTACTTTTGCACGATATTCTAATTATTCGAGTTTCACCTGTATTGTTCTAGTGCATTTGTACAAAGTACTTTGGTCTTTCTATTGGCTCATACACAAGGGCGCAAATACATATAGGTTTGTATGGATAGAGGCGTAGAATACACCTAGATCCTCCTTCAGTCAGTTCTAATCCCACTGCCAATTCTAGTAGTATATCCCTCCAAGCATAAAGCCACTGCTGTTCTGTATGAACAGACAACACAACGCAGCCATAAATAAATGTAAATATAGTATAATAAATCAGGGGTCGACAATTAATGTGGAATTCAGAAAGCAGTCTGCACAATCCAGAATCTCCCCAGGATTTTTTAGGAGCCAGCTCCATTGGCAATAATTAGGGAACACTTCAAAAGTTAGGAGCCACAGGGGTGTAGAAATAAAAAAAAAAACAAATACTTGTCCAAGGACTAAAGTGGGGGCCCAATCTACATGTCCCTCATGACCATCTACTTGTTGTAACACAAAATAATTATTTCAACCAAAACTGTATTTAACCGTGCTAAGAAGCGCTTCTCATTGGTCAGCACGCCAACCTAACCAACCGGTGCTCGCAATTTGCAAGCAAAATTCAAAATCCATAGTGCAGGGCTGCGCAGTACGGGATATGGATATTACACCTGCACCGTCAGAGGGGAAGGACCATTTGCCGAAAGGTATGTATAGCCTTGGTGGGAGGAGAGGGGTCCAGATTTGATTGGGTAATTCCATTTTCCTAAATTACTTGGGAAAGTGAACTTACCCTTTAATGCACATTGTGCATGTTAGCGAGTGCAACACTCACAAACAAGCCCCTATGTGATAGCAATTGGAGGTGACAGGTTCTCTTTACGGTGCCTGCCTTCCAATACAGAAGATCAAGCACAGCATTGAGCTGGATCTGCCGTGCAGCCCAGCTTGTGACAGCTGAGAGAGGAAGCACTGTTAGTATAGCACTCCTGTCTTCAGACGTTCTCCGGTCTGCTCCCCACTCTGCATCCTGAAGTCATTTGCCATGGTCCCTGGGAAGAGCAGGGGACCCCAAAAACCACAGCAGGGAGGTGGGGCAGGGGGAACAAGCAGGCTGCTGCGAGAGATCTGGATGGCTGTCCTCCCCCAAAAGGATTCCCCCCTTCCCTGTCTGTTCCTCTAGCACTGACTGGAGGGACAGACAGGGGAGGGGGCGAGCACAGCTGACTCTGGCTCTAGAGAAGCTGTCAATCAGGTAGCGGGGTGGATACCAACAATGTTGTCAGGATATTTCCCGGCTTAAGCGCAGCCCTGTGCTATTAGCAAATAGCAGGCAATAGC